AAAAAAAAAAAAAAAAAAAAAGAAAAGAAAATACAGCTGAGTTATCAATTCAGCTCCATTCCTGAGCACCCAGTGTTCTGGCTTTTTTAAATCTTAAAAAAAAAAAAAAAAAAAAGAAGAAAACGACCTTGGGAGTACCCATCCTCAAGCAGGGTCTAGTATGAGCCACACCCACAAAAGAGGTGGCCAACGCAGCCACCGGGGCGCATACCCAATCAACAGGTGACACAGCTGGTCAAAATCACAAAGGCTCAGAGGACACAAGAAATGACTAGTCTAGGGTAGTGAGCGCCGTGGACGACGGAGAACGTGAGGATGACAGCAGTGACCAGCACAAACCCAGAGCAGGGACGCTCAGTCAGCATGGGCTCTGTAATAGACACTATTCTGATGCATCACCTCATTTACACCTCAACCCTTACCAGAGTGTACATGCTGTTAGTGTAGATGAAAAAAAAGAGGGCCATCGGAGAGATTAGAACACTTGTCCAAAGGCACGTTTCTAGAATATGGAGAAAACGGGATTTGAAGGTTTCTTTAACTCCAAATTCCACGTGTTTTGAACCACACTTTTACACTGTAATTCCATTTGAGCAAAGGAGAATTCAGAGGGCAGGAGGGGTGTGCGGGGTAGGTGGGGGGGGGGGTAGGGAGTAACTACAGAGAGAGAATAAAAATGTTGGATGTGGGGGAGGTGCGTAGGGCAGTGCAATGACCAGCCTGGCTGGAGATATAACAGGTGTTCTTAGAGGCCCTCTATAGGGCATAAGGTATTTTTAATGGTAAAGTGGACTTTGAAATGTTTTTTCCTTCCTCCTTTAAATGGTGCTTTGAAGCTATAATTAGAGGCGATAGCACTTTTGGTGAAGTTCAGCAATTCAAACACTGGGCAAAATGCCATCGCTCTGTATATCCCCCGCCCCGCTGCACCTTCCATCTGCTCTGCTCTCGAGGGGCCGGGCTGGCCAGGAAAACACGGACATTTGACTCACATCAGACAAACAAATGTCAACAGTGGATGGTGTAAACTCCATTAAACCCCCCCCCCCGGGACCATTTGTGGCGGTGACCCCAGAGCTTCCCGGGACTCCTCGACTAGGCTGTCCATGCTGCAGAAGCCTGCTTCTCTCCCTCACTACATGATGCGTCAACTTTGAGGCTTTGTTTCTGTAATACTCACAGTTTTTCCAGAAGGACCTTGTACTGTTCATCTCCTCTGCCCCCTTCTACCTCTTGGTCCAGCTTTGTGATCAGCTCATTCTCAAACTGAAAGCAGAGTTAGAATTTCCCAGGAGAACGCCAGATACCCTTCGAAGAAGCCACAAAAGACGCCCCGCCAACCTTTCTAGATTTGACACAGCCCCTTTATTGAACTGTGAACACTTTCCAACATATTATAGGGAAGATCATAATTCATGTCATCCATTAATCAGGTACCAGAGTCCCATCAAAACTCCCTAGGCGAGTCTCATGTTACTTTGTCCTTTGCTTTACATTTGGAAAAAAAAAAAAAATCCCCCAATATTATCTTCCTGTTTTGACTAATCCTAATAATTCTAATTATCTATTTTATTTTTTTTCTTGGCTAAGTCTTGGCAATGTAATTTGCTTTTGCAGAACTTCACAGCTACAAGACCTCTTCGGTTCCAAAGCACTCTATAGATAAGGAAACTGAGGCATGGGAAAGACATGCAAATTGAGAGAGACCTCAAAACCAAAGAGGCCTCAGCATCTTTTCCCCAACCCACTGCATTATGTTCTCAGCTACACTGCAACCGGCAGGATTAAAACGCATGATTGCAGATTTTAATTACCCAGAGATAGTTAAACACATGCAGTGAGAAGGGTTTCTAGGCCACGTGGAGAAATACCTGATTCTCCCTCTAACTGCTTTACGGCGTGAAAAGTAAATAAAGGTTTTAAAGCAACTTCGATTTGTAGAATTCAGGCTACTGCTTCTCGGTGGAGAAAGAAACTAAGCAAGAGGCAACTATCTGCACATTAGTAAGATTCAAGTTCTGCCACTCCTTACCATATGGAAATTGCCGTTTCCGCTGAAGTTGAACTCACACTGCATCATGTCAAAGAAAATGGGGATGGTGGCTTTCCGGAGCTCTACTTCGGGGGTCAGTGTGACCTCCAGAATGGGACCCACCATGGAGGGGATAAATTTGATTTTGTGGGGACCTGAAATGAAAGTAAGCGGGGATATTAAAAAGTGATTTCAGTGGCAGTAAAGTGTTCCCACCTTCCTCTACGGAAGAAATGGAAAAGGTCATGTGGGTACACCAACTCAAATTCAGAAGTGAGTGACTAAACAACATCGTCTTCTGATAACATATGGACGTTATAATGAAAGACTGACAAGTCAACTTTCCCTTCTAGACGCACAGGCAAATAAATGTCAGGGTTATTGGGAGTTGAAATAGAAAAGAACCCATCGTGGGATGCTTATTACACGGGAGTTGTACGGTTCAAGGTCATACACTCACCCAGGTTATACCACATGTCCCGGATTCTAAAGCCGATTTCCTTTCTCATGTCCCCATATCTAGAAAGAAGATCATAAACAAGAGAAAGATCTGAGGTGGCAATGAAAATGACGAGGCCTGTGAAAACAGCCTGTGCCTCTCTAGGACCACCTTTAAGACAGGCTCAAGGCGAGGCCACAGTCAATACCGAAATGAGCCCCCAAAGAGAACGAGGCCACACGGAGAAGGCACGTAACTAGCAGGAGGGGGCCAAATGCAAATGCGGAAAAATAACTGAGAAATGAAACTGTCACACTTACTGAAGAGAGAAGGGTGAGGGATATTCTGGCTGCTGTCAAGCAGAGAAACAAAAGAAAATATAACAACCACTAGTGAAAAGAGAGAGGGATGGGGTATGATTTATACGGTAATGTGACTGATGTCTAACAAATATGCTGACTTTATACATTTTTATTTGAAAAACTCACATCCACACCAGTATGCTCTACAAAGGACTCACGTTGAGAAGCTCTAGATGGTCCCCAGAGGGGTGAAAGTTGGTCCTTGGGGGCAAAGAAGGCTTACTATTCTTATGGACAGAGTACAAATATACATATAGTACCTAATCAGATATGCAGCGTATCTGTGGTATTAATGTTTCATGGGGGGGGTGGGGAGTGGGATTAGAAAAATAATTTCTGAGAAGTTTCCTTACAGGAATCAATAACGAAAAAGATAAAAGAAAGAGAGAAACCATGGATCTATTCAGTGGTTCGTGGCCTGGGATGGATGAATCAAAATCCCCTGGGTATCTCTTACAGAAAACATAGGCCTGAGGCTACCCCACATCACACACGAAAGACGCTGGGGGCTTGGAAAAAACAGAAATAGGGTGGGCCAAGGGTAGATGTGGCCAACGTTCCCAGGGAACTCTAATATGGACCCATGGCCCATGCTGTGGCCACCATTCCCCATTTTATACCCATTGCATCAAACATTGTTTTCAAATTCCACCTTTGTAAATGCCTGCAGAAACCAGTATAAAAATCTTTAAAAACTTTTTGTTTAAAACAACAACAGCAACAAAACCAATTTCTCTTACGATTCCATTTTCACAAAAATACCCCATTTTATTATTTACATTGGGTAAGCGGATGTTAGTTAATGTCTGGCACATAATAAAGAATAAATGATAAGTATTCCCATTGTTTGTTAATACTGCTATTGATGCTAATTCTACTGAAAATAAGAGAAATCCTGAGGAAAAAAACAATTCGTGTTGGTATAACATTAATAAAAATGTTTTCCCAAGGTACATCTTTGCCCATATGCATATATATTTTACAGAGACTTCCCTTTGATCAAAACCCTTAGGCTATTAAGCCTAACTAGCCACTTTATTTATCAGACTTGGTGTCACCTAACTTCACTTTTGATTGTTTGACCAATATCAAATCCATCTTTGAAAGACGTTATGTCATTTAAGATAATCTAAAGAAGGAGATGCAGGTATTATCATCTTGAAACTCAATTCTTTCTCCATACCTGCTGCGGGGAAATCTACAAAACCTGATTTAGTCTTATCTTTAAGATTGAAATCTCAGTCTCTTAGCCAACAATCTCAGTGTTTTCGGGAGAACCCAGAGGTAGATAATTTGCCTAGAATCCCAGACATCCCAGCAAGGGATCAGAACTCAAATTTCGCAGCCTTTCAATGGTAAATTTCTCGCGTTGTATTAAACTACACAGCCTTGAGTTTCCAGGCTCCCTGTGAACTCTGAAACAGACCGGAAAGGAAAGCAATGAAAAGCTTCCTTAAATCTCTCATCACTCTTGCACATATGTCCCTGTTGAATCCCCAGCCAGGAATGTGGAGGGCCTTTTTAGGTGATGTGTTAGTTTTGGCTCCTCTGCTGAAGTGACTGAGAGGTAAAACAGTGGGGCCAGAGGACCTTGCTTTGTGATGCCTGAGTGGGAGGGGCGCTGTGCCTGCAATTTGGGTAAGCTGCCAGCAGGTGGGCAGCTGTTCCTGGAGACTGGAGTCCTGGCAAGCCTTGGTGCCTCTCCAAGTTCCAGTTAAAAAAAAAAAAAAAAAAAAAATGCAACGGTTGATGGGAAAATGAAGGGGGCCTTGAGAAAAGAGATGTGAATCAGAGGAAATTTAAAGCCTATAAAATAATTACATTAAGACCTATCTCACGGGGCACCTGGGTGGCTCAGTCAGTTAAGCATCCCACTTCAGCTCAGGTCATGATCTCGGGGTTCACGAGTTTGAGCCCCACATCAGGCTCTGTGTCTCCCTCTCTCCCTGCCCTTCCCCTGTCACACTTGATCTCTCTCTCTTTCTCTCTCAAAAATAAATAAAAACATTTTTGAAATTAAAAAAAAAATTAAAAAAAAAAACCTATCTCACTAATACCTTGCAGGGGTGGGGGGCCGGGGAGGGACTCTATCCAGTTAATTTCTGGGATACCCAAATTCTTGCTCTGAATACAAATGGAAGAGTCATCCTCCCAACCGTAAGCAAGTTTTAAGGGGACACTTACTTTTTGACAATTTTGTTGCGCTTGGCTTGAGAGAAGGTTTCAAGTTGAAGGGACTCGTGGGTGAGAAACGCTACCGCCAAATGGAAGTAATTGTTCCAGAGCTGCTCAAATTTAACGGTGTGGGTGAAAAGAAATGGAAAGTAACATTAATAAGGGTCAGGGTAAGATCGCGCCACATGGTAGAAATTCACTCGCAGAAACTAATGAGAAAAACAAAATAAAATCCACAAGGCTCCTTTTTCTTTCTCGGGTTTCATTTATTCAACCCTGAATAGTTTTGACACTTAATATTAATATTAAGCTTTTTAAAAAAAATCCAGACTATCCTATTGGTCTTTACTCCTGAGATAAAGGAAAACCGCTGCCAGTAAATGCACCTATTTATAGTAAGCAGTTTGGCAACGTGTATCAAGAGCCTTAAAATTCTGCCAAACTTCTCAAATAGTAAATACTTTAGGACTTTATCCTGGCAAAATAATGACGGGTATTTAAAAATATTTAAAGCAAGGAAGGCCCTCACTGTTTTATTTAAATAGCAGAAGATGGAAGCAATCTAAATGTTCCTAAGAAGAATCTGGTTAAATAAATCATGGCCCGGCCATGCCACGGACTGTATTCAGCCATTAAAAATACGGTGGAAGTGTTTAATATCATTGAAAAGACGAGAGAAAAATAATTACATTAACAGGTTGCCAAAGAACTGCATAGCTTGATTCCGTTTTGGTGTGTGTGTGTGTGTGTGTGTGTGTGTGTGTGTGTGTGTATATATATATATATATACATATATATATATGTATGTCTGTATATATATATGTCTGTATATATATGTATGTCTGTATATATGTATGTCTGTATATATATATATCTGTATATATATATGTATGTGTATATATACATCTATATATGTATACACACATACATATATATATATATACAGACATATATATATATACAGACATACATATATACAGACATACATATATATGTATATATATATACACATACATATATATATTATGTTTAGCAAATATATGTGTTCCATTTTGGCACAGATACACACACACACACACACACATCCACGTATGTGTAAGTGCACATATAACTTTCTCTTCTTATGAGTCTCCACTTTTAAAGTCTCACAGTTATAAACGAAGCCCCATGACACAGCAAAAGCGTATCACCAACAAAACGTTTGCTGGAACGAGAGCAGGGAACTTGTCTGGCCTCATCAGGGCCTAAAATGGCACCCTGTGCCGTCTAACATTTGTTGGACGAATGGATGAATGAATAAATGAATGAAGATGAAGCTCGCGGGCACCTGATTTGCCCTCACTTTGGATTTTCAAACAAGCACGTATAGAAACCTCTCCTTAGAAACCAAATCACTTGCAGGCAGACAAATATCTGTGTGCCTAGCTGCAAGCACGAGTGTGCATGTATTTGTGTTATGTTAACAACAGAAGGTAGGGCTGTTTGTCTTTCAATGTTCTTCTTTTTGCTTTGCTATGTTTTCTGCTGCTACTTTTTTTTTTCTTTTTAACCTGTATTACTTTTACGGAAAGAAGAAAAAAACTCGACTTGACTGTCTAAAGGACGGAGTGACAGGAATGTGCGCTTTAGGGAAAGGAGAGAAAAACAAGAAAACTGCATCTGGAAATGACAGGGGCGCCTGGGTGGCTCAGTCGGTGAAGCGCCCCACTTCAGCTCAGGTCATGATCTCACAGTTCAAGAGTTCGAGCCCCGTGTCGGGCTCTGTGCTGACCGCTCAGAGCCTGGAGCCTGCTTCAGATGCTATGTCTCTCTCTCTCTCTCTCTCTCTCTCTCTCTCTCTCTCTGCCCCGCCCCGACTTGTGTTCTGTCTCTCCCTCTTTCTCTCTCAAAAATAAATATTTTAAAAAGTAAAAAAAATGATTAGATCTTTAAAAAAAAACAGTAAGAAAATGATAAAATTTGAAGTGACGTTTTCCAAAATGCAGCAGTTCTCTTGCTGTGGTTGAGAATTTGAGGAATAATGATGTGAGTAGCCATGCTTACCTGAAGTTCAAAGCTTGTTTGATCCATGAAGAACTTTGTGAGAACCTCAGTAAACTGATTTATAGCACGAAGGAAAACCCTGAGGGAGAAAACACCAGATAAAGAAAGCACCTCTCTGTCTTTAAAACATTTCCCATCTATGTTAAAAACCAAAGCAAACCAAACTTGGGCTCTGCAGCATAAGACCTTTACATCTATTGAGGTCATCAGAAACCAACGACAGAGCAGTCTGGAGATGGCACTGTTCAGTTTCTAGAATGGTCTACGAGATCCACTGGGGGCTGCTCCACAATGTAGCCACTTAGGGGTAGAGCTGAGATGATTAACCAGGTCTCCTGAGCCTCAGACAGGGCTCTTGCACTCTACTGTGACACCTGTCTTTCCAAGTCTGGTGATACTGTGATGCGATTTTTTTTCTTTAATCTGTACATAGCTGGGAAGGGTTTTTCTAAGAGTTAACAGCTCTTAGAATGATTTACTTTATTTAGTTCTTTAAAAAAATTCTGAAATCTTAATATTTCTGAAATCTTATTATACATATGTATATAAATAAAATTCTGAAACTATGGAAAAAAATATATATATATGCAGTTTTTTTGCTTCCATTCCATTGTGGTCCAACAACTGGAAAGCACTGGCTTAAGGTCTGCCTTGAAAGAGAGGGTTTCTGGTCTTAAGAAGTTTGCCACTTGGTGGGGGTCACCTGAGACCTGTGAACAGGACCATGACCCAACAAAGAACACGGAAAATTCTGTGGAGGGGGTGGCAAAGAGTTACGGGGAAATCAAAAGGAAGAGGACGTGACATCCAGGTTGGAAAGGTTTCCTTTGGAGGTGGCATTTGAGAAGGACCTTGAGGAACGGGTGGCAGGTTGACAGCCAAAGGTCATTCGGAAGGCGCTGGAGGTGGAAGCAGCCGCCCAACGGAAAGCACAGCACGTGTCTGGGGACCAGAGAGAGGCCAGTTCGGTTGGAGCGCAGGTTGTGCTACTGAGGGAAATCGTGGAAGACAAGGCTAGAAAAGCAGAGCGGGCCAGGCCGCCGAGGCCCTGAATGTCATGATGATGAGGGTGGTGCAGAGCCACCAAGGGGCACCGGGGGAGAGCCGAGGATGACAGGAGTTGGGCAATGAGGGGACCACACCTGAGCAGAGAGCCGCAGGTGAGAAGTGAGCAAAGAATCGGCAATCCAGAAACAGGAGGCTTCTTGCTCTACGGAGCATGGATGGGCCGCAGAGATTTAATAGCACTCTATGGGAGGGCCCATACCTGGTCCAGAAAGCCAAGTAATTCAGAGTCAAATGACTCATGCCCTGCCCTGGGGCTGTCTTACCTGCTCTGTGTCATATTCATGACCATCCAGTCTTTGGCGTAGACATTCTTTCCAATCAGATCCTTGAACATGATAAAAGTTTCCATGAGGAAATCCTGCAGAGAACAAAGGAGCAGTTGTGGAAAAAGTGACTGGAGGGAGCTCCCCATCAGAACACAATGGCCCTAGCCCGAAATTACAGCCTACCTTTTTAATAAGGTTTTTAGGGATCTGACAAGGACAAAACGGTTGTCCACATTTTATAACTGATAAAACTGAGGCCTGTGAAAAGAGTGAAAGACTTAAAGCCGTAGAAACTAGGAAGTGGGAGAGCGGGGAAGAGAACTTGGGGTTTTGGGCCCCAACTTTAGATCCATAATGCCTTAGTCCTCTCCTGCCAAGCGTCGATGGAACAGATCTACCGCACTTAGAATGAATTTACCAACAATGGTGAGACTGCTGATAACTCTTGAGTCCAATCCTCCTTTATTATTATTAGAACAGAACAAAACCGCTATAAATAAAAAGCAAAGTCAGGATTCTTCCTATTCCAGGAATGTTCCCATGGGTAGCTTGGGGGGAAGGGTCCTAAAGGGCCCTTAAAAAGAGATGGCAGCCACGCCCTGCAATGATGGTAATAACTAATAACAAAAGAACACAGAGCACGATGTCTGAAAAAGAGCTCTTCTACTCAAAGGCGGGGGTGGGGGTGCTGGGAGCAAAACTCAGCTTAGGAATAGAACGACTCGAGCTAAAATTCAAAGCTAAAAAGTTTTGCAAGCTTTGTATTTATTAGTTGGTTAAATTTAGATATTTTCCACTCGGATTCCTGAGATGAGAATCGGGGCCAATTCCTCCGGCACCAACGGCACAGTTGTATCTTCTGAGTTACATCACGCAGCAGGAGGCTCACAGTGGTGGGGAAGCAGGCGGCCTGGGCTCCATTTGTAAGGATGTTCCTCCGGGACGGTGGGCAGGGTGGCTAACTTCCGGCCACACAGCACAGGAGGGGGAAGGGTTCTGGCTCTGAGGTCTGGGCTACCCTTGAACCTTCCTTTGGCTCAACGGAGAGTCAAACTTTTCTATCCTTGGTTCTCAAATCATAGACATATTTCCTGAGTTTTAAAATTCATCATACATTTGGGGCGCCTGGGTGGCTCGGTCGGTTGAGCGTCCGACTTCGGCTGAGGTTATGATCTCGAGGTCCGTGAGTTCGAGCCCCGCGTTGGGCTCTGTGCTGACGGCTCAGAGCCTGGAGCCTGTTTCAGATTCTGGGTCTCTCTCTCTCTCTGACCCTCCCCCGTTCATGCTCTGTCTCTCTGTGTCTCAAAAATAAATAAACGTTAAAAAAATTTTTTTTTTAAATAAAAAATAAAATAAAATTCATCATACATTAAAAAAAATTTTTTTAAGGTTTATTTATTTTGAGAGAGAGAGAGAGAGAGAGACAGAGTGTGAGTGGGTGAGGTGTGGAGACAGACAGAGAGGGAGACACAGAATCCGAAGCAGGCTCCAGGCTCTGAGCGGTCAGCACAGAGCCCGACGCGGGGCTCGAACTCATGAACTGTGAGATCATGACCTGAGCCGAAGTCGGACGCTCAACAGACTGAGCCACCCAGGTGCCCCTCTTCATCATACCCACAACGCATTAACTAGTCTATTAACTCTTTCTCTCAAATCAGTATGAATTCATGGTGTGTGAAGAAAGGATTAAGTTAAATGCCAGTCATCCACTTCTTATAAAACAAAAATTTTTTAGGGGTACTTGGGTGGCTCAGTCGGTTGAGTATTCAACTTCGGCTCAGGTCACGATCGCATAGTGTGTGAGTTTGAGCCCCACATTGGGCTTGCCGCTGTCGGCGCAGCTTTGGATCTTCTCTCCCCCACCCCGCCCCCCACCCTTGCCCACCTCTCTGTGCCTCTTCCCCACTTGTGCTCTTTCAAAAATAAATAAATCTTAAAAAAAATTTTTTTTATTTTAATTTTTCATTTCAGAGAGAGGGAGAGCGCACACAGGGGAGGTGGGGCAGAGGGAAGGAGGGCAAGAAGCAGGGGAAGGAAGGGAGGGAGAGAAAGAGAGACAGAGAGACAGAGACAGAGAATCTTAAGCAGGCTCCACACTCAGCGCGGAGCTGGATGTGGGGCTCGATCTTGTGACTGAAAGATCATTGGATGCTCAACCAATTGAGCCACCCAAGATGTCCCCAGTTATCCACTTCCGATGCTGATTCTACATTCAACTCTTGGTAATCTAAATTAATTGTAAACAGTGACAGTATAATATAATGAAGACAATTCATAGGTTATCCCAGATCTCACTTTATCTCCCATTTCCCAAAGTCTTCCAAGTGATTTCCTCAGAAGGTAGCAGGAGGAAGGGAAAGGAGTCCCTTGGACACCAAAAGGCTTAGCTGTCCCTTGCAGGCTTACCCCTGATGACCATAGTTTTCTCATGGGGATAAGAATCCTCTTTTAGTTAAACGACACATGGGGCGCCTGGGTGGCGCAGTCGGTTAAGCGTCTGACTTCAGCCAGGTCACGATCTCGCGGTCCGTGAGTTCGAGCCCCGCGTCGGGCTCTGGGCTGATGGCTCAGAGCCTGGAGCCTGTTTCCGATTCTGTGTCTCCCTCTCTCTCTGCCCCTCCCCCGTTCATGCTCTCTCTCTGTCCCAAAAATAAATAAACGTTAAAAAAAAAAAATTAAAAAAAAAAAAAAAAAGGACACAGAGGGAAGAGCTTACCATTGTTCTAGAAAACACAAGGCAAACCTGTTCTTTGGCCTACTTAATAGCACCAAATTGTCAAGAGCCTGAATTTACTAGAACTTCCCTTGTTCCACCTGCTTTCTGAGGGAAATTTTTAGCGTCACTAAACTATTTTTATGTCAACTTTATCTTACATGACAATAATAATAATAAAGTCATTATTATAGCTAGTCCTCATAGTCATTAGCTACCTGCCAAGTACAAAGCTAGGTAATTCCCAGGTGTGGACTCAATCAGTGCTCCTTTACATTAACCCTCGACATAGGTACTAGCTTTACAGATGAAGAAACCGAGCTTTAGTGACATTTAATAGCTGGCCCAAAATTTCATAGAAGGAAGTAAAATAGCCAGAATTCAAACCCAGATTTGGATGCTCTAAAGCCTGTGTTGTTTTTCATTTTTGTTTTTTTTCATGTTTGTTCATTTTTGAGAGATGGAGAGACCGAGTGGGAGCGGGAGAGGGGCAGAGAGAGAGAGAGAGGGAGACACAGAATCCGGGGCAGGCTCCGGGCTCTGAGCTGTCGGCACAGAGCCCGATGCGGGGCTCGAACTCACGAACCGTGGGATCGTGACCTGAGCCGAAGTCGGACACTTGACCGACTGAGCCACCCAGGTGCCCCTAATTCAGTGTACTTCTGATCTCATGTATTTCCCTGGAGTAAAGTCACTTTTCTAATCATGCTACTTCCCAGACTCAATATCCATGTTTGGCTATCTATTGCCAACTATCCAAACTCTGGAAACCTACCTGGCACTTAGACTCCAGGTCACCTGAGAAGTTTTGTTTCCCTTTCCTGTTACCATTAGACTGTGTAGAGAATTTATCACATGGTTCTGCAACTGTTCATATGTTGGGTTTTTAAATGACTAATGTCATTTCCCATTTTGGGGGTCATGAACTCCTTTGGTAATTCGATGAAAGCAGGGGACCTTCTCCCCAGAAAAATGCACATAAACACAGACTGTGCACTATGTTCAAACCCGTTCATAGACCTCAGCTCCTCAGGGCTGGATCACGATTACAGTTGTATCC